TCAAAATGGATATTTTCGTTGAAATATGGTACATGGATTTTTTCGTGATTACAATACTTCCTGTACTTCGTATAAGGAAGCAATAAAATATGTTTCGAGCATTCTATGTATGCCTAATATAATACTTTATTAAAATCTGATTGAAAGCTTATTTGCTTTTGTTAAAGAAACAGTTAAGAAGTGAAGATAGTTGTTTTAGGAGAACAATTGAGTCTAAAATTATGTTCTCAAGCCAAAACTATGACTGCATTTATTGATTCTCGTATCAACACTGTAGGAGAGGGGTGGCTATTAAATAAGTACTGCATATGAAAAGAAAGATAAGGCTCAACAAAGCATTTGGAGTTAAACAACAGGCCCTTCATTGGGTGTATTATTAAAGCCGTAAAACACTGGAGGCTCGTTTTAGCTTCGATGCTTTACGAATAAATGTGCTAGCCGTATGGAGATTTTGTAATTTTGCTTCCCGTGTAACACAAGCTAGTTCTTGAGGAATATTCTTTACGTAGACGTCTTCCCTATGAGACAGTCCTACTAGCATCGCAGAATCAAATAAACTACATATGAAATATATTCAGATGTTAGATCATGTTTATAACGCGTCATTCGTTATGGCAGAGTATTCATTTGTGGATTATCTCGCCTTAACAGGGTGCGATCATGGTGGACTTTTAAAGGTAACTTTTCGTGTTACGTATGGAGAAGCCCATGGAACATTTAAGCAGCAAACTTGTTCGATCACTGGAATCAAAAGTTAATATAAACATCTAATTTATGTGTGTTATCCACTAGGCGACAAGTGGAATTGAACTTTTATAACTTATTTAAAAAGCTCTTGGTTTCTAAGTAAAATTTTCGATGATATAAACAACTTAACGTTTATTACCTCACTCAGTTCCTATTGTATGCTGTAATTGTTATAATATTAATTACTCTAACACATACTTTGATTGTAAATGTAGTGCAAGATTCATTAGTCAAATTATCTATGCTATTAAAGTCTGTGCGTCTGTGTCTGTTTGTTTGTTCTTGATATCATATCCTCCTGAACGGGCGGGGAGTTGAGTTTCGAGACAGGTACCCCAGGATTTCAAAGATTCGTGGGAAGCCATTTCGACCGTTCTCTTCTTCGTACGACTTTAATAAGCTGAGATATTAATTAAAAACTCAGAAAACGCTCATTTTCGCAGTTATTTTTCCGAGTGGCAACAGTCTTGCGCGCTTGAGATAAAATTGCTTTATATCGAAATTTGTTGCCACTGCTCGCTTTCAAATTATAGAGTTTGTTAGAGAAAAATTTGTAAGTTTTACAAGATATGAAATAAAAATGTCATTGCCAAATATTAAATATATTATTGTTGTATAAGGTCATATTCTGACGCTGAAGAAAGCGCGCGATTGCATGTGACGTCATTGTAAAAAATTTAAAATATTTCATAAATATCATCATTTTATATAAATAGAATATGTTACTGCCAGGTTAATTCTTTTATTGATATTGAGAAAAAGTTTTCATATTGCATTAAATTTAAATCATGACGTCATACGTATACGTATTAATCTGAAGTGTCAAAAGTTTTTGTTTCCTGTTTTGGCAATAAAAAAATATTTTGGAATTGGTTGATGCTTGGAAAGAATAAACTAAATTCATTCATACTGAAATGGTTTTATACACGTTTTTTCAATTGTATGTAGAAATTTTTTCGTCGCAGCCCGCTAATTACTTAATTAAAATAATTCTCTTCCACGTTGAGTCGCAAAGATACTCACAAAGTCTATTAAAAAAACCATTGCAGTAAACTTCAGTGCAATAATTCATCACATCAAACAGTTATTGATGACGAATCTTTTGTTTTCTACAGCATTATAAAATAACTTTATTTTAATTCCGAAATCCAAAAAGAAATCTAGATTATCAAATTAAGAAAACCTTAGTAGATGCAGTCATTAATCTCCCAGAAAGAATCGAAATTTCTAAAATTAGAAAGTGTTGGGAAGTCCGAGTAACCTGAATTCCTATTCGAAAGCTTAACGAATTGCATCTGTTTCAGAAAATTACAGTCCTGTTATTCTGTTATCTCTTGTTTTGAAGGTATAACAGTTTGTTTTGTTACGCCTGGGTAAATTCAGGCGTGATCAGAATTTAATTCATTTGGAAGATTTCCGCACAGGAGGTAACACTCAGAATTACAATAGCATTTTGGAGAAGAAGTAGAATCTAGGCAAGCATCTTGAAGCCCAAGGTTGTGATAGTATCTACAGCTTATGCAATTGTGTTTGAGAGTGCAATTAATTAAAGGAGTAAAATAACATAGATTACTTCAAGATCTTTTGCGAATTCAGCAAACATCTGATTTCCCCATAATTTCTTACTGCTTCATTATAGCTTAATGCATAAGGCCTACCAATGTATAATAATATCTCTTAGAAAATGGCTCATTCAGAACTTGTCTTTTATAAATAATTTGGTAATTAGACCGTTTATACTGACTTTCCTAAGAACCATACACAATCTAATCACCGAATTAAAATACACCTGTGTATACTATTCTTCTTTTCGCCTTTTCAAAACTTTTAGATCATTACATATAACTTTGAAGGGATAATCGCATGAAAATCACTGTTTTTTATTACTTCATTGTACAAAGTAAAAAGGAAGTATTGTAATCGCGAAAAGTTTCAGGCAGCATATTTCAACGAAAATATCCATTTTCACCGCTTTCGAATGCAATTTAACGATGTATTTGCGTGATATCTGTAGTAGGACAATAAAAAAGACTCTTTCCTCCAAAGAAAAATTATAAAATGCTTTAAAAGGAATTCTGAAGAGAATTTTCGTGGCGTTGTAGAACGTATGACGTACGTAGTACTCGAACTCAAAAACGAAGTCTCAGAACCTTGAAATTTGTATATAGGACACTATAGCATGTAGATGTGCACCTCTTTTTGGTTGCAATCGGCCGCACCAAAATATATAAATGTATTATATATATATATATATCCACTCTGTTCCCGGCTCAGTGATCTCAGTTTCTTACTCTTAGATGTTTGTAAATTGACATTTTTGACTAAAAATGATGAGAGGGTTGTTCATCTTCGGTTAGATTTTTTGCCTTTAGAAACGTAGGCAATATTTTAGAATCAACAATTTAAATTATTTACGTGCCGCTAAGCCTAATAATATTTTGATGGCGGCCAGGCTTGTTTACATTGAACACAAGGATAGCGGGGGCTGTTTCGAGGAAATAAGTGTTAAAAGGACTTCGTAATTGAATACAGATATTTGAGTTTTTATGTATGCCTTGTCGCGAAGTGAGAAGGAATAATTGAATGAGATACTAAATGTCTATGAAAAAACTTTCTGTTTGTTTTGTTGCTAATTTCTTAGACATCGTTCTAGCTTTATAGATTGAATAGAACATGGGGCCGATTGAATTCTTTAACTGTTATAAATTTTTTGCTTGAGTTTAATATGAACGAAAGATAATGTTTAAGGAAGCGCCCAGAGTGGCGCTATGGTAAAAATAGAGTGAATTTTAAGGAAGCCTTTATTCTATTAGGTTATGCGCTGTCGGCGAAGTAGGGGAATTATCCTAATTTTAACGAAATGCAAGAAAAAATGCGTATAATTTAATATTCCGTACAAGGAAGTCATGTGGTGTATACATCAGATTTTTTTCTATATATTTGACATAAACTGTTGTACATTTATATTTAGAATGCGTTATAATGATACGTGATATTTATTAACTTTTTATGTAATTTTTTCCTCCTTTTCAATTCCCGCCAACGTATATATCTATAGGTGAAACAGGTAATGTTTTGGATCCAAAAATTCAACAGCGAGTTTCCAGTGACTAGGCTCAAATTAGGGTTCCCACTGCACACGTTTACTATTTTTACAATGATGTCTGCGTGTGGCGATTTTTTCGTCCATGATAAATCTTACATCAAAGTTCTAATACGTTCTATTTTCTGTATTTAACTTTTCTGCATTCATATGAAGAGTTGATTATATTTGGGGTAAAATTGGACGACCAGATGTAGCACTTTACTTGAATTCCATAAAAGCCTGTTTACCCTAACGGAATTTTCAGCCTAAAAAACGCACGTGAACCACTTTTGACGGTTTTTTCGCCCATGATAAATCTTATATCAAACTTCTAAAACATTTCGGTTTCTGTAAATAAGCTTTCTGCATTCATGTAGTGTTGATTATATTTACATACATATATAGTGTTGATTATATTTGGAGTAAAATTGGACAACCGGACGTAACACTTTACTTGAAGCCCATAAAAGCGTGTTTACGCAAGCTGGACTTGACAATGAAACGCGCATGAACTTGACAGCTCCGCTATAGAGAAAAACCACACTGTTTTCGGCCGGAATATTTTGCATTTCGTTAAAAAGCAGTCCAATTTCGAAGTCTGCTAATTGTTCCTATTTTTTATTAAAAGCATTTTGTACTCATACCATAGTTTTCTGTTTCATTATAAAACAAAAATAAGAATTGGTATTAGATTCTTGGAAGAGTGAGAAGAGCAATAAGCTGCGTATCTGTTTAAAAGCTACGTTCTAGAGATTTACAGTACTGCTAAATAAAATATTACTTTTATTAATATTAAAAAATTTAACAAAACTTGTTTAAATTCACGAAATCCATCCATGCTTCTCCGTGTTTTTGTTTTGGTGTCAATAAACGAGGAAACTTTTAAAATGAAAAACATAAAACACTTCATTAGAAATTTTTAAAGCCTTAATGTGTTACGACAAGAAACAATTTAAAATGCTTAATAATTTTGATTTATTTTTGCATAAATGAATTACACCAAAATTCCAAGAGTTTTCCTTTATCAAAAAGATTTGCAAAATTTAATTTTACAGGAAATTCTCTTTTACAAATTTATGAGAATGTATCTCGTAAGTTTTTTCACATGAAAATATTTTATCTTACTTTTTATCTCCAATATGTCTCATTTTCTTATGTTTTCTTTCAGTTTCAATGGATGCTGGCGTTTTCAACAATGTAACTCATCGAAGATCCAAGCGACAGGCCCCAGATACGGTTTGGCCTGAAGTACTGCTGGTTGTGGATTATGAATCGTACATTCTTCATGGGGCTAACAGCAGAGATGTAAAGCGATATTTCATTAGTTTTTTCAACGGGGTGAGTAATTTTAATTTATTATAACGAAAGAAAATACTATATTCGAGATAGTTTGTAAAATGAACGTGCAAAGTATTCATTCATCTTATTTCTAATTTTGATTTCTATTTGCATTTTCTGTAATTATCATTTGTTAAAAGCTTCAAGAATGGCGATAACCGATAATAAATAAATCGTAGAAGTAGGAATACACAAGGTTCAAGTTA